GTGTTTGGATCTAGGGTATCTGCTCCCATTGAGCATTGAGATAGCTCCAAGCAGGCCCGATTGTCGCTCAAGTCCCCTTCCGCTTGGACGAGGGTGGCACGACTCGCGAACTCAGGGCCTCCTACCCTCAGACCTTGAGCATATTCTTCTGGGAGGGAAAAGCCTCGTGTCCGACGCGGCGTCGAAGGAGACCGCGCAGGTCTTGGAGATCACTTGGGACTCACAACCGGGCATCTCGCGTCGATTTTTTCTACCTAATGTAAAACCGGAATGGACGTTGTTTGCTAGAATGTCCATTCCGACGTGATATATCCCCCATGAGATCGTGGAGCTCTCTCCGGCCTAATGGATATGCCCGTCTGAAGCAACACTACCCGACAAACTGACTCGCTGCCTACGCGATCCGTGATATGCATCCTCGCAGTGAATTATTGATCGAAGCTCACCTCCAACAGACGCGAGCAGTGGGAGATTCGTTTCTCGTCTCTTGAGAGCTATTTTCTGGCAAAGCTTCAAGGTACCGCAGATGTCATAGAGATTCAACGAGCTGTGTCTCTCCCTACAAGAATTGAAATTCCAACGGATGAATTCCACACACCACGGTGGAAAGGCGCACGGAGGGAGGTTCAAGAACACTCGATCTAGAATCCAGATGATAAGGAATCTCGGGAATCGATGGAAGCCGAAGTTGTAAGCAAGACTCCCATCTTTCCAGTTTCCCCCGTGGGTGTACCCGGCGGCATTGCCGGACGGCCGTATCGAGCTGGAGGGCATGTTCGGCTCCCTAGTTGACAATCTGACCTATTCTCTGAATCTGACCTACGAAGCGTCTATACCTTCCGACGGACTGTACGGACATAAGTTCGAGAACAACACCTGGTCCGGAATGCTGGGAGCCCTAGAGCGGGAGGAAGCGGATCTCGCGGTCGGGCCCTTCACTCTGGATCACGATTTGTTCATGGATTTCGATACGATGCCGAGTTGCGAATACACGTTCATCACGGCCCTCACAGGAATG